TTGGCCAAGTGGTTGTTCTCCAGATTTCTTGGCACAACTTGGTGAGCACATCCAGGGCAGCATCTGTGAGCTGAAAAATGGTGATACCAATCAAAAAATCAAAGATGTGCTGCATTGGGAAAATCTGTTGTCAAGGACCTCTCCACAGTGACAAAGAGCAACAATATCCGTTTAAAGCCCAAGATGTGCCTGATCCAAGCCATAGTCTTTTCAGTTATTTCCAAATGCTTACAGAAGCTGACAAGTCCCAGGTCAATTGTTCAAACATTAGGAGAGGGTCTCTCTTAAGTTGTGTAGCTGTGGAGACTGGTGAATCCAAGATCAGCTAGTAAGGCAGGTCACTATTTCAAGTATGAAGAGCCAAAGACTTAAGGAGCCGGATGCAGAATCCAGATTGAGCAAAATCAAGCATCCTTTGCCAGATTTCTTTATACAGTCAATGCACGTTACATCCTCAGTGAAACTCCCCTTAAGCCTATTAGCTGCTCATAAGCATATCCCATCAAGAAAATTATTACATTACTTCAAATGGCATCAAGAGAATGACTACATCATAACTGCTCATCTAGAAAATCATAAGCAGTCACGTTAACACACAACCTTAACTGTCACAGCTAATGAGGCTCAATATATTCTCAAGGGATCTGTTCATACTTTTGGGCAGTAGATCTTAACCCTGGTCCAACCAGAGGTTAATGAAATCATACTCTGTAAGGATTGAACCCAGTGGTCAATATTTCTCTAAAAGCTTTCCCTCGAGATTCTAACTGTGCTTCCAAGGTTGAAGACTACAGCTTTGGGGAAGAGCAGTAGAGACATTTTTGACGTTCTTAGTTTTTTGGTTTTGTTTTCATTCTTCTGATCTGCCATTCCTCTCTAAGCTTGTTGTGCCTGGTAATTCGTGTTGCTGTGTGATACTGAAAGCCATGCTATGAGTATTTCAAATACTGGCAAGGTCCCTTGTGGTGAGCAGGGTTCAGTCGAACTTCTGGACTAAGACAGGTTCAGAAGAAGGACCTGATGATCTAACTTCTGAAAAACTTGCCCAGGGAAACCCTTGTGAACAGCAGTGAAACATTGTTTTTTTCTGTTGTGCAAAGTGCCTCTTATGAGTTTGATCCAACTCATCAGTGCTTAGTAGCAATAAAAATAATTTATCTCAGTACTAGTTTTTATTCCTTTAAAAAACTCATTGTCATTGAGTTGGAACTGGCTTATAGCTAACTCTCTATTAAATAGCTTTCCTGGGAAGAGATAGCTTCTCCTCCTCCCGCAGAACCATTGCTGTTGTGGGTGTGTATCGTGGGGTCTGAACCAACCCATTGCTGACACCCAAGCAGGTTTTCAGAGACAGTAATCACACAGAAGAGATTGCAGGAGGAAATTTCCCACTCTCTTATAGAGCAGCTGGTGGACTTGAACTGCAAACCTTTGGGATTACAGTGCCACTAGGCCTCCAGAGCTCCCTTAATGGAGCCATTAGTGGGTTTGAACTACCAGAGAGGCATGGACCTTGGGTCAGCAGCACAGCTCCCTTACAGACCACACCACAAGAGATTCCTGCCAACTTTTACAGAGAACACTTACTTTTCACATGTTTTCTCACCTATGGTTTTAAAGGAACAAATACTTATCCTTTATGAATTCAAAATGATAAGGGGAAAAATCTGACCTTAAACTAGCCCTTGTTCCTAATAATGAATATTGTACTGTATCATAGTGTTAACTAGTTAAAAAATAAACTTGGAGAATTCCTGTGTTTTTTGAGCAAATTAACCAACAGAACTTTAGACCACAATGATAGGTATGCTTACTTGGCAACCAGCCATGGCAAAAGACAGCTCTGGATCTTACTAGATGTATTGTATCAATATATGCTTCAAACTATGGGTAACATCATAGGGAGAAACCTGGCTATCAAACGTTAGGAGAATCAAAGTTAAAAATCATTACCATGTGTGAAAAACAATGTATGTGAACTCTGCAAGTAAACCAGTATAAAATTTTTTAAAAATTAATTAAAAAAAAATCCTTACTGTAGAGTTGGAGTTGACTCTGACCTGACATTCCAGCTGAAAATCACATGAGAGGAGATTGTTCATCTTCTTCCCTCGGAGCAGCTGATGGATTTGAACCATCCACCATTGAGCTGCCACAGCAATTACCTACCCACTAGGCCACCAGAGATCCCTTATTAGGATAACGTTGTTGTTATGTGCCATCAGGTTCACTATAGCCCATAGCGACCCTATAAACAACGGCTCTGAATTCTGTCCTCTCCTGAGCCAGTCTCACTGTCTCTGACACATCTGTTCCTATTACCCCAGTCACTGGGTCAATTTAACTCATCCAGGATCTTCCTCTCCTGTGTTGTCCCTCCACCCTTCCAAGCACAATGTCCTTCTCCAAGGACTGCTCCCTCCTGCCACCATACCCAAAGGATGTGAGATGGAGGTTCAAAATCCTTGCCTCTAGAGAGCAAATGGGTTTTACCCTCTCGAGGACAGACCTGTTTGTTCTGTTGGCAGTCCACAATATGTTCAATACTCTCCTCCAGCACCACAACTCTAAGGCATCAGTTCTTCTGTCATCCTTATTCATTGTCCAGCTTTCTGATGCATAGCACGTAATTGCAAAGACCATGGCCTGGACCAGGAGCACCTTGGAGCACTCTTCGAACCAGCATACAGGAACTAAAAAAATTCATTAGATTAGGAAAGTCTGCTGTCAGAGACCTCTCCAGAGTGCTGAAGTGCAAAGATGTCAGACTAGAGATTAAGGTGAGCCTGATCCAGGCCATATTGGCACAATATGAGGCAGGACAAATATCCATATCTCATGTCAAACTCTTGACTTATTCAAGAAGAAACCTAAGAAAGATACAATTTGAGGAAATGCATAAATATTAACTGGGTCCAAGTATGACTGTACAGATTTCTTTTTTATAGAAAGTATCATAAGAAACATCACCATGAAAAAGCCAAGCTTCGCCAAGTCAAGGATCTTTTAGATGAAGAAGTATCTATACGAGATCAGAGAATTGAACAGCTTGAAAATGAAGTTGGAATGCTACAACAGGAAATTAAGAAGGTAAGAAGTAATAAAAGGTGAACTGCTCGTTGATGATGCTGATCATCGTTCATTTCAAGAAAGTCTATACTTGTTATTTGTGTGTCCTCTTCCCAACCTACATTTTCATTTCTTTGAATTTTCTTTTAATGCAACTAATTCTTTAAACTGATCAAAAAATAATTACGGATATTCTAAACCATGTTATTATTGTTGGGTGCCATCAAGTCAAGAACAACTTACAGGGGCCCTATAAACAGCAGACCTGAGCCCCATCCTATCCTGTGTCATTCTCAGAATCTCTGACATACTCAAGCCCATTGCTACAGTCATTGTGTAAATCCATCTGGTTGAGGGTCTTCTTCCCTTTCACTATTCCTCCACTTTTCCAAGCATGATGTCTCTGTCCAAGGAATAGCCTTTCCTAGCAACATGCCCAAAGTATATGTGACAAAGTCATCATTTTTGCCTCCAAGGAGCATTCTGGTTGCACCTTCTTCAAGACACAGTCCATGGGATATTCAGCACTCCTCCCCAGTACCACAGCTCAAAGGCAACAACCCTTATGCCATTCATTGTCCAGCTCTTAGATGCATAGCAATTGATTGAAAAGACTATGGTCTGAATCAGGAGTACCTTAGTCCTCAAACTGATATCACTTTTCTTCAATAATTTGGAGGTATGTCTGACTACAGACTTTTCCAATCCAATACATCTCCTAACTGCTGGTATCAACTGTATTGATTGTGGATCCAAATAAGATGAAGTTGTTGACAGTTTCAGTCTTTATCTATCATATACTGCCTATTAGTCCAATGGTTAAAATTTTTGTTTTCTTGACATTGAGATGCAATCTATATAAAGGCTACAATTTTAGGTCTTCTGCAGCAAGCACTTTAAGTCCTCCTCACTTTCAGCAAGCAA